GCAATAAAGAGATACAAAAAAAAAGTAAAAATAAATTTAAAATAAAAAAATTTAAAAGGTTGCAGCATATTAAAATATATAAAAGTTGCAAAAACCGCTCAACCGAAATGCTTTCAGCGTGCAACAGAAAAGTGTGTAGGTGCCACTAAACCGTTGTTGGAGCTTAAAAAGAGGGGAAATAATGGAATTTACTTTTCGGCTGATTTTCGTAGCGGCTATATATGTACATTTAATATGTATGTATGCATACAAGCTGCCAGTTTGTAAGTGGGCACCAAACAAAAGCCGATAAGAGTTTTAAGGTCACACTTGTCGTTGTTATTGAATTTCAGTGTATTTTTTCCATAGCTCTCTGTTTTGCTTTGGTTGTTTGGTTGCAATTTTCGGTCACTTACAGTTGGGTTCTGATGCATACATTTGTTGTTGTTTGTTGTCATTTTTGTTATATTATTTTGCCACTGCAGCTTGCTGACAATCAATGTCGACCCTTTTACAACATATTTCGGCGCTTTTGAAACTATAAAATTTTTGTTTTCAGCTTTGTGGATATTGTTGGCGGAGAGTACGCAGTGGTGCGGTGCCCACAAGTTAATACATATATACGTGTATGTGTATGAAAGCTACATTTGCATGCATTATTCCTTCAGTGCGAAATTTCTTATTTTGGTATTTCAGTTAAAATTTTCTGGAGAAAAGAGGAGTAATGTGTAGGAAAAGAAAAAAAATACATAAAAGTTCTTACCCCAAAATTTAAAAAAAAGTTGCAAATGTTTTTATTAACAACTGTCGAAACAGGAGATAATAATACATATATATGAATATTTACATACTATAGATGATATGACGACATTACGAATTCCCTTCGAGTTTTTTTATAATAATTTATTAATAGAAATTAGCAACATTTCTTACTTTATATAAGGCGTTTATACTTATATTTTTTAAAGTTAAAAAATAAATATAGTTAAAATTTTATAAACATTTGATAAAGATATTTTTTCAATTGAAATCCTTTTTTTATAATTTCAAAATAAATAATATTTTTTAATATGAAAAACATATTTAAAAAATTACAAAAAAAGGTAAGTTATGTAAAAAAATAAGAAAACTCTGACTAAATATTTTGTATGTATTTAAAAAAAAAAATAAAAAACAAATATTTAATTCTGATTTCACTGAGGGCAAATTTATTTGTTTTAATTATTTTTTTATATTTTTACAAAAAGCAATTTCCAAGGATAAAAAATTAATTTAGGCGCAAAAATTAAGTTATTTAAAAAGAAAAATAAATATGTTATTTTTTCACTTAATGCTATAAAATTTCATTAGTTTTTCTATTAGCTTTTGAATAAATACTCGCAAGTATAAAGTTCAAGATCATATATAACATATAATTGAGTTAAAAAAATTAATTGAATAGAAAATATATCAAACTATGCAAAGAAAACTTTCAAAAATTTACTAAGATAAAAATGTGTTTAAAAAAACAGTGATTAGAAACCAAATTATAACATCAAAAATTTCAAAGTCTAAATTATTTAAAAAAAAAACATTCAAAAAATTTAAAATTTTCGAAGTAGTGGGAAATACACTTTGTATTAAAAAAACAGAAAGCAAATATTCTAATTTTTTAGCACATTTTGCTTTAATTTATTTTAGAGGTTTAAAGAAGCATATATTTAGGCGCGACAGATATTTAAAGTTGGCAAAATTTGATGTAATGGACTGTTGTTGAGTGCACTCATTAAATACTTAAAAAAAAAAATAGAAATGAGGATATATTTATATATAAAAATTAATAAATAAATAAATGTGTAATAAATGAAAAATAATGAAATAAATAATATAAGTAATTTAATTAACTAATTGGTCAATGAAAATTAAATAAATAGATGAATAAACAAATAAAGAGTTTAATAATAAATAAATAAATAAATAAACCAAAAATTTAAATTAAGTAAATCTTAATAAAATAATATAAAATACTCAGATTATTCGCTAAATAAATATATTAGCAAAAACATAAAAAGTAATTAAAAAAATTAATAAATAATAGTATTAAAGTATAGAAATTAACATATGAACAGAATAATAGAAAATAATTTTTATTAATTAGTAAATCACGGAATTTAAAAATAAGTAAATAAAATTAATACATATATCAACATAATATATAAAAAAATACAATACATTAAGTTCGTCGATTAGAAAACAACTATATGTATAAATAATATATAACTGAGTAAAAAAATAAGTGAAGTGCTAGCTAAGTAATTATTAAATAAAAAATAAATTATTTAAAAATATTTAAATAAGCAAATATATGTGATTGAAGAAATATTTATATAATCTTTCTTATTTTTCTTAGTTTTCCTAACTTTAAAGTAGCATACATTCAGGCGTAAACTTCATAATTCTCTAAATTCTTTTTATCCACTCAATAGTCAATGTTTTTATACAATTTACAATTTTTATTGTTGCAACCTTTGACGCTCCAACTAATAAAATGTTGTAATTTTTTAAACAACATTTTTTTTTTTTAACAATCGTACTACAATATATAATTGTCTTTTTGCCAATCGACAGCGATTACGCCGATATACCACGAAATTTATTTATATATGCGCCTATAACACATGTTAAGACATTTTTTTTCTCCCAACACAAACACACTACACCTGCTTCTTTCCTGTAGTTAGGCGCCCACTTGTTGCAACCAACACGAGAAAATATCAATAAAAATGACAAAAGCAGAGAAAAAACAAAAAAAAAAAAAAAAAACAACGACGATTGCTTGACTATTGAGACAGGAGAAGGACAAGCGACAATTTTTGCTGTAATTTTTGTGGTATTTTTATGTTGTTTTTGCTTCTCTTTTTCGCTATCATTATTTCGCTTTATCAACGTATATGCAGCGAAGGAAATAAATCAGGTAGGCGAACATTTGATCGCGTTGCAAAGGTAGGCAGGCTGCTGTTGCAACAAGCAACAAGCAATGGAACCAACAAACGGCGAATGGCGAATGGCGAACGGCGAACGGCGAACTCTGATCGACGACACTGAGAATGGCCACGAGGCGGAACGAAGTACATGTGAATAAATTATTGAATATATATTTATTACTTTACATTGATTGTGGTATTAATTTCACATGGCGCAGCAAGCAAAAAATAAAAATAAAGAAAAAATTACAGCAACAAGCAACAACAATTTTATTAATGATAATGCATAACAAGAACGAGCGAAATGATGTAGGAAAGGGTTTAAAGGAGAGGCAAGCAACGTGTGCGTGTGTGTGTGTGTATGCGTGTAATGACAACGACACCACAATGTCGCAATGGATTCAATGACATTATGCGTCAGTGTGGCATGAATGAAGTTACATGATGGCAAGGTGGACCAGCCAAACGGACACAAGTATTGTACATACATACATATATGTCTACATAAAGAAAGAAATATCAGAGGCAAGCGTGCGTGGTGAACTACTTCAAGGCATACAAAGTTGCACACAAATTTATTGAAATTTAAACTCATCCATACAAGATTTATTTATTTATTTACTTTTTATTTATTTATGTGCAATCGAGTGCAAAAAAGGGCAGCAAGAAAAGTGAAGGCGACACAGATTCCGCTGTCAAGTTGCAACAATGCATGGTAATGTGCGAACACACGTAATGCTTATGCCATGTTATGCAATCATCATGTGCGGAGCAGTTGTTGTTGTTTTAGTTTTTTTCATATTTACTAATTTTATATTTTTTTTTTTAATTTTTTTCTTAATTTTATTTTATATCTTTTTACTTTTGCCCAATCGAAACGAAAGACTTTGGCAACGAACTTTAATACGCAAAGCAAGGGACGTCGTTGCGCGTGGCAGAGTGCAAAGAGTGTGCAGTGGATAGAGAGAGAGAAAGAGAGAGATAGAGAGAGAGAGAAGGGGGGGGTGCAGTGATGTCGAGAAATCAACTGTGCGGGGCAGTGGCATACGGCAGAGGCTGAAGATGTGGTAGGACGACAAGTTGTGTGATGTCGTAATGCGTGGCGCGCTGTTGTTGTTGTTGTTGTGGCTGTTGCATATAGCTGTCACTTACCGCTTACGCAATAATATTTGCAACTTGCATTTTTTTTATATTTGCTTTTTGTTTTTTTTTCTCTCCCTCTCTTTACTTAAAAGACATTTTACATTTAAATTTTTTTCCTCCTTACTCTTCTTCTTGCAACACCATGTCAGACTTTTGGTTTTAATTGTACGACTGCCACTGAGCGGCATGCGTAAATGTATTTCGCTAAATGTCAATCAAATCAAAAGAGCACGCCTCGCTGTCTAACCCCTCCCCGCCTGAGCATAAGCCTAAGACATCGGACATCTGCGCGTTATACTCGCATGTACAGTTAGGTGCGGCATGTGGCGATCTGACGTACGCGTGTCAGCTATTCGGCTACTTGCCATGGACATTCACATTCGCAGCTGTCAAAATTTTTAATTAAAACTTGTAAACACACACTAATACAAAGTAAAATAAACGCACACATTCGCATATGCGTATATGCAACACATAGTGTGCTTGCAAAATTGCATTTTATAATCCTTTTGAGCGACGCTGATGACGAAATGACAGCCAAATCGGATGGTTGAATGTCTTAGCTGTGAACCGTAAACATATATGTATATGTAGGTGTGAGTGTTGGTGTGTGAGTGGCTGACGCAACGACCCTTAATTGTTGGTATGCTTGTGTGCGTTATGTTAGCTGCCACTTGGCATTGATTGACACTACCGAAACTGTCACTAGTTGCATAGCAACCGTGACCACTTACTGGCTGATAATAAGTCGCAATTGTTGTTGCTTGCCTGAAAGCTGTGATTAAATATTATGCGTAATCCTAGCCGCTAGCGGAAATTAATACTTCTTGCAACTTGAACTATAGTTGACAACATAAGCCGCAGGACAAAGTGAATGTACTCGAGGTACACACAGGGATAGTTGGGTGCACTTACCTTATCGCAGAAAACCTTAATTTGGCAGTAGCCTCGATGGAAGACTTGCGCATCGCGTGGATCCTCGAATGTGTCGATTTGAATGTGTAGTGGTAGGCCCTACAAAAAAACAAAATTATGTTTTATAAATATTCATTTTACGCATCATTAATATATTAAAATAATCTATATAATAAAATAAATATATTTATTTAAAAATATTTGAATTACTCGAACTGATCGCTTAATCAAAATTATTAAATAAAATAAATATGTATTAAATTAAAAAACAAACTTTATAAATTGAGGAAAAGATTTAATGCGATGAAAAACAAAATTAAATACAAAACAGTAGAAAATTTTATGAAATAAAACAGAAAAAAAAAATTAATAATATTTATAACATCAACAAAATAATATGAATTAAAACAAAAAAAATAAATACCTTAATATAAATTATATAAACTAAAAATAAAAAAATCAGAAATAAAATGATGAATTAAAAAAAAAAAAAAATTAAATAATATCAAACTAAATTTAATTGAATTAAATTAAATGAAAAATATAAATTAATTAATAAAAATTTAATAACATAAGTAAAATAAAAGGAAATAAAATTAAATAACATAAAAAAATGAAATGAAATAAAATAAAAAACCACAAAATAAAATCAAATAAACTAACAATAAATCAAGTCAAACCAAAACAAAAATGAAATAAAATTAGTCAAATAATTAATTCAATAAAATACGAGAATATAAATATAGTAATATTAAATAAAATTACATAAAATAAAAAAAATTGCAAAAATAAAAGTTCTGCACTACCCATAAAACCAAAGGGAAAAAGCAATTTCAAATAAAATAATTTCAACTAAATTGACATTAATTAAAATAATATGGAGTTATTAAAAAATAAATTAAAATAAACAAAATTCAATAAAATGATATAAAAATAATATAAAAGTAAAACAAAATAAATTAAAAGTGTTTGAAATCAAAACAAAAATAAAATACAGTAATAATTAATAAAAAAAAAAATTGAACATTAAAGTTATATTAAACTGAAATAAAACCAAATAAAATAATAAGAAAAAAATTAACATAAAATGAAGTAGTTTTATAAAACCAGTAAAATGAACTAAATTAAAATTATATAGCTAAATGAAATATTAAAAATAAAAAATAATAATTTAGTGAAAATAATATGAAGTAATTAGTAAGTAAAATGAATTAAATAAACAAAATTCAATAAAATAAAATTAAATAAAAAAGCTTAAATTGAATAAATTTCATTACAATAAAATATGGCAAGAATAATTTGAAATAATATAATACAAACTAAAACAAAATTAATTAAAATATAAAGAAGAAATTTTAATAAAAAAGTAAATTAACTTAAACAAAACTCAACAAATAAAAAAAATGAAAAAAAAGAAATTAAAATGGAATAAAATAAAATAGCGCCAAGATAAATAAAATTATAATGAAATAAGTAAATTAAAAAGAATAAAAAAAAATTAAATATAATTCAATAAACTAAAATAATGTAAAGTGAATTTAATAAATAAGTGAATTAAAATTAAATACTAGATAGAAAAATTAAAATTAAAATAAATTAAATAAAATTAAAGCCTAACCCTAATTAAAATAATATAAAGCCATTTGAGAAAATAATTTTAATTAAAGTAAAACAATTAAAAACTAATGTAAAATAAAATAAGTAAAATAAACTATATTAAAATTGAATAAAATAAAGTACAAGAACAAAACTAAATAAAATTACTTATTAATTTAATAGATAAAATAAAATGATATTGAAACAAAATAAAAGAAATGCAAATGAAATAAAAAACCAAAATAAAATAAAATTAATAATTAAAATAAATAATTTTTATAAAGAAATAAATTGAAGTGAATTAAAATTAGATGTCGAAATAAGAGATTAAAATTAAAATGCAAATAAAATCAAATGAAATAAAACTAAAAAAAGTAAACAAAAAAAAAAATAAATTAAAAAAAAATTATTAGAAAAAAAAACCAAAAAAAGCTGTAAGTTAAAAAAAAAGTAATATATATATATATATACAAAACTGGAGCAATGCAACTATTACTTCTGATGAGACGAAAAATATATGTATATATGAATGATGTCAAACCTGCTTCAATGACACTATTTATTGCTATTTATTAATAAAAAAACAGAATAAACTGCAGTCTCTAGTGAATTCGCAAGAGCAAATGATGAATAGCACATTTATGCAGTGCGTGCAACATTGTTGACAAGCAAGCGTGATGTACATACATGCTTTGTTTTAAATTTTTTTTAAATAAACATTGTTTTTGCTGTTTTTTTTTTGTTACTTTTCCTCTTCTTTAATTTATTTGCTAAGCGTATTTAGCTGACTCTCACCTATATTTTGCATTTATTGGTTACAAGATATAGCACATATTTTTAAAAGAGTTGGAGCATTTGGTTGGAATTTCCGCAGCAGAAGCAATAATTTTATCAGCAAGTCTTTGCCCTTACTGTATTCTTTTATTTCATAGTTGATCTGTCCTTTAAATTAATTAATTATTATTATTTTTGTTTTTAATTCTCAACTTGTTGCCATTATTAACAAGGCATGTTTTGTGAAATTCGCAGCTTCAGTTGTCAATTTTTTTTTTTGCTTCCATTTAATTATTTATTAGCAGCGCTATACGTTATTTTTGCTGTTATACATACATATGTACATGTATGGATGTATGTATTTATGGTTGGTTGTGTGCTTCAGTTTGCACGGCCATTAATAATATTTCTTTGACATGCGAAATTGTTGTAGTTGTCATGGCATGGACGTTGTAACAGCTGTATTCGCTTTAGTATGGTTGTTATTTTAGTTGTTTTTGTTGTAATTGTGTTACATTTGCACTCATTCTTGGTCAGCCTGTCACAAGTCGGAGTGTTATTTTTTTTCTTAATTTTATTTATTTCTTATTGATTTGTTTGCATTTTTAACACTCTGTTGTTGTTGTTGTTGTTGTTGTTGCTAGCGCTGTCGTTTTGATTGTGTGTTTTAACGTTAATAAAAATTCGAATACCTGTCGTGCGCGTCTCTCACTCGCTCCCGCAAACATGACAGATTGCATTCGTATGCCAAAGCATGCTGCATGCAACACCAAATGGTTCAAGAATTATAGCAACACTAGTACAACTTCAGAAAAAGTAAAGAGCAAATTCAATAACAACAACAACACCACACGCTCATCATAAAGGATGCCAACACATATAAACATTAACAACAACAACAACAAATGACAAGAATAAGAGTAATAGCCATAGCTTGGCACCTTGCACCCGATACTCGAACGAACAAGTGCAACATGCCACAAAATGAACTCATGGCCAATAATGCAACAAGTGGCTGTGTGGCAGATTGCTTCATAATGCCAAGTTTTGAGTGTGTTACAGCGTTTTGTCTGCATGTTGCACGCATATGGAAGAGTGTTACATGTGTTGGCATAGAGTGTAGCAAGTATGTGTCCACTGTACATACAATCAATATATTTATTTTCTATGTTAAATTGTTTTATTTTTGTTGTTCTTACACACTCACTTATTGACAGAAATGTAACGTGTCGTTTGCTTGCAACGCGTTCAATCGCATTGTCATTGCTGATAAAATTGTAAATTTTGATCTTCTTTTTGTTGTTGTTGCTGGTGGTGTTGTTTTGGTTTTTGTTGCTCTTGATTGTTTGTTTCGCTCGAATAACGCATGTACATGCCACAAATCGTTTGCACTGCCACAAACAACATCCGAGCAACGGCAGACAGTGAATGCAACTTTGCAACGGTTTCATTTTTAGCAAATACATGGCGGTGAAATGATGATGCATGCAATATACAGGATGTGCTCCAGCGACAGCGTCAGCAGCAGCACCAGCAAAAACAAAACCAACAAAAGAAACACAAATCTGCAAAAGCATTGCTGCACGCACACGGCTGCAACAAGTTGTCGCGCAATGAAAAATATGTGGGCATTCCGTTGTAGCCGTTGACAACAACAAAACAACAACAAACATCTATTTCTATTTCCCAAACCAATCGCAGACGCATGGCATTGTTGCTGTTATTATTATTGCATTTTTCCTTTTGCACCATTGCAACGCGACAACAAAAACTGGTGGCCACTAAGTCTGGCGCGCCAGCTCAGTACTGGCTTAGCTCAGCTCAGCTATAGCCGTGTGACCGCCAACCGAACTAATATTTTTTTTTTTGCATCTTAATAACAACGCTGTGTTGTTGCTGCAGCCATGTTGTTGCTTGTTGCTTGTTGTTGGGCGTGCCGCTGTGTGGCGGTTAATGCGTGTGCGTTTGTGTCGCAGACAGCGGAAATTGATTCGTACATTTCATTTTTCTTGTCCTCCATATAGAGCATGTGAGTATCGGTGCGTGTGTGTGTGTGAGTGTGTTCGAGTTGTCTGCGACATGGCGATTAATTGCCGTACAACACGCACTGCCAAACCGCTGTACTTGTTATTGGCCAGTAGCTAATGGCCATTTGCCGTTAGCTATAGACGGATGGTAGGCATTATTGGCATTTCGATTTAATTTTCCAGCTGCACCAACGCTATTGCTAACTCAGACGCGATTTTTCTTATTTGTACATATGTTTTTTGTTTTACTTAAAGGAAACATAGTTAGGTTTAATCGTATAAATTGAATTAAAAAACAAAAAAAAAAAAAAAAAAAAAAAAAAAATATGTGACAATGTTTAAGCAATGTCTGCTTAAAAATGGCTGCACGAATGTACGTGTGTTTGTAACTTTGCGCAAGCGCACAAACTTTCTACGCATCTCTATGCGTGTTGGCGACTTTCCCCCAACGCAAATGATATACAATAAATTATATTTAGTTTCACATTTAGCGGGTTTTATATTTGTAGGTGACAATTTGTTAAGTGCATTCTATTAATTTCTCGAAAGTCAGTTCAGGGTAAATGAGTTCAGCATAAATTTAGTGTTTTGTTTAAATCAAATTATTTAATTTAATTTTTTAAGTGATGCTATTTTCTCCTTAATTTAACTAATTTACTTCAAATTAATTTATTATATTTCATTTTATTTTATTTCTTTAACCTTTCTTACTTTAATTAGACTTTACTTTATTCAGTTTATTTTGTTGCTCTTTTTAAAATCAAAATTTCTTTTCCAAATATTTTCTATTATGCCATTATATTTTATTTTGGTTTTAACGAGTTTTAATATATTTGAGTTTATATTTTTTGGTTTATTTTTATGTTTTATTTTAAAAATATTTTATTTTAATTTAATTTGATTTTTTCTTTCAATTTATTTTAGTTGAGTGTACTTTATTTTATATTATTTATTTTAATTTTTCCATATTTTCATTTTATGTTATTTTACTTTATTTTATTATATATCATATATTTAATTTTTCTTATTTTATTTTATTTTATTTAATTTATTTCATTTTGTTTTATTTTATTTTATTTTATTTTATTTTATTTTATTTTATTTTATTGTATTTTATTTTACTTTATTTTATTTTAGTTGAATTTATTTTATTACATTTTATATATTTTATTCATTTTGAAATTGAGATCCTCATCCAAATTTTGTTTTATTTTATTATTTCTTTTAATACTTTTTTTTTAATTTATTTTAATTATTATTTTTTGTTTATTTCTTGAATTTTTAATTTTTTCATTTTATTTCGGTTTGTTTGTATTTTAATATTAATTTTAATTTTCATTTATTTACTTTTAATCTATTTTATTAAATATTCTTTTACTTTCTTTTTATTCATTAAACACTCTCTTTGTTGTTTACAAATTTTTCAATATTTTTTAGCTTCATTTTGTTTAAGTTAAGATAATTTTATCTTGATTGAAAATTCATTATTATTAATTTTATTTATTTGCTTTAATTAATTAATTTAATCGTAACTAAATTTAGTTTAATTAATTGCTTAAATTACTTTATTTAATCTAAACTAAATTTAATTTTATTTGTTTTGAGTTTTTATTTTAAATTTTTAATTTTTTTTCTTTTTTTATTTTTTTAATCTAAACTAAATTTAATTATATTTATATTGTTTTATTATTTATTTTAATTGTTTATTTTTCCCTTTTTTATTTTTTCTTTTATTAATTTTATTTAACATTTTTTTAATTGTAATTTAATTTCAACATTTTTTTTTAATTTTTTTAATTTTATTTTATGAATCTATTTTATTTTACTTTTTAAATTAATTTTATTTCATTTTATTTGTTATAATTTTTTGTTATCTTTTTTTGGTATATTTTAATTTACTTGATTGTACTGCATCCTCTGCATGTAAAATTTTAATTTGATGCCACATTTGTAACGCTTCCATATTTTATGTTTACTCAATATCTCCTTTCATAATTCACCTTGCAGGTGTATCTTTTCTTGCTTTGGATTTAATCGTCGTAACATTAAATATTTTACTTTATGAGTTTGTATTAAATGCAGGAAATCCCAAAGGCCAAAACGTACCACTTTGTGGCACAAAATTTCGAAAAATTGTAAGAAAACAAAAACAAAAAATCGGTAAGTAAAAAATTTTGATTTTTTCATCTCTTTTATCACCTACAGACAATCCAAAAAAGCAATTATTGTATTGGAAAATAATCTTTTCACTTGTTGACTTTCCATTTCATTTGCGCAGCATTATTTTCATTACACAAAATTTTTTTCTCAGGTGGCTGGCTTTTTTACATTTTCCCATTTATTTTCTTTCATTTTCAAATTTCCTTTATTAACACTGCAACATGATATTTAAAATCCTCTTAGATAATTTAAAGAGTCACACCTTTACACTTTCAATACTGATTGATTTACACCTTATAGACTTTGTGGACTGCTGTGCCTGCATTGAATAAGCATTTGTGTTGCGTACATAACACATATGTACATATGTATGTATCCATTGTCTGAGTCAAAAAAAAAAGAAAAGAAAAAATTTGATCCCTTCGAATCCTAATGATGTTTGTGCTCAACTGTCGTCGCAGCAAATTGACTGTGCATCATTAATGTAGGGCAAGGGATAATGACGTTGGGTAAATTTGTATGAGTATGTGTACGTGTATGTGTGGTTTTTTTTTGTCTTTTGAGGGGTGCCAAATCAAACAGGAATGAAAAAATTAAATTGGCCTGTGCATTGGGTTATGAAATTTGCCCTTTGTGTATAGTTAATGTAATTCACTTCACTGTGGATAGTGGAAATAAATGTATATATATAAAAAAAAAGCAAAAACAAAGGAACTTCAATAAATTTGGTAGTTTTTTGAGTATTATTCTCAACACAAGTGGATCAGATAGTGAGAACTAAACTTTGCAAAAATTCGAAAAAAAAAAAATTATATTAAAGGATTTTGAAAATTAAATTTACACTTCCAGGCTTGCTTCAAATAACTTTTAAAAGTGTTTATTCAAAAACTTTTATTTAAAACTTATTAGTTTTTCGTCGCTTTTATTATAAGATTAAATAAAAATGTTTAATTATTTGCCTTTCCTTTATTTTTTAATTTTACTTTATTTTTATTTTAGCTTTTATTTTTACATATATTTTTAATTTTATTGCTATTTTAAATTTAATTACAACTTGAATTACAATTTGAATTTAATTTTAATTTTAAATTATGTTTTAGATTAATTTTAGTTTGAGTTTGAATTTGAATTTCAATTTTGAATTTTGTTTTAATTTTTATCTTTATTTTTATTTTACTTATAATAATAATTTTATTTCAAATTTTTATTTTAATTTGAGTTTCATTTCGTTTTTAATTCTTTTTTGATTATTATTATTTTTTTCTAACTTAATTTTCGGCGTAAATTTGTATGCATTGCTTGTCTCTAATAATTTTACTACTGCTTTTTTTCTTAATTTTATATTTAATATATTAAAACTTTGTTCATTTTTTAATTATTGTTGTTTTTTACTTTCTTTTATGGTATTAATACGTATTTTTTTAATTTATAATTTTTGAAATATTTGTAGATTCTCTTTATTGAAATTTACGAGATAGGTTTTGCAGCAAAAACTTTTAAAATTTTATTTCCCTGAAGTCTTTAACTCTTTTTATTAAAAAACTCAGTTTAAATATTAAAATAATTCTATTAATAATCTCAGAAAAGCCAAATATAGCTTACCTTAACTCCTTTTTGACTGCTGAAGTCCGTACTCAGGCATTGGACAGCAATATTGATCTGCAAAAGTAAAAAATAATTTTTGTAAATAAATCAATCAATTAATAATTGAATCAATAAATACTAAAAAAATAACTAAAAAATATAAATATTAATTCAAAGTGGTATAAGAAAAATATTTCAGTTTATGTTTGAGAAAACAAATTGTCACTTATACAAACACACACACATAACATAAAAATAATTATGAAAGAAATAATAGTAGAGACAGCAAAAGAATGTAACATAGCAAAAACAAAACAAAAAAAAAGCAAAAAAAAATTGATACGGAATTGTATAATGCGCTAGAATGGCGATTTAGCTAATTGTTCTGCATTGTTGGGCAAATGCGTTTACAATAAATTTGCTAAAATTTGCTGAAAAAGTAGTAGATTATCGAATATATGTACATAATAAGGTTTTGCGGACAAAAAGTTAAATGCCAAATGATGGAGTAAATTGCAATTTAATGCATAACAAGTAAATAACTTTATATTAAACTACACTTCATAAAAATCTATTACAACAAACACTAAGCAGCGCCAATTAGCTTGGCAGGAATTTCTTTTTCTATTGAATTAAAAGAAAATTAAAAAAAATTGCAGAAAAAACTCTTTAAGCGAAGTTTCGCAGCTTTATATAAAAATTTCTTAGTCAAATTTCATAGAACTCAATAAGCAGTATTAAAAAAAAGTTTTATATTTTCGCTTTATATAAAATTAGAAATTAATTAAAAGCCACAAGGGATGTAAAAAAACATATCTTCAAATTTGACAATTTTTTTGCAAAATAATGATACAGTTAAATATAATTAAAGGTTAATTAGAGAAAATGTATCATACAATATATTCAATGAAATTGAAAAACTAATGAATTGGGTTTTTCCTTTTTCATTTTAGAGTGGTATAATACATAAATACTTACATAGCTAACAAAGAAATGTATAAATTAATTTTTGTATTTTTTTATTTTTATTTTAGTTTTAAATAATGCATTTTTTTCTAGTTTTAGTATTTTTTAAATTAAAAATATTGTTTTTTAAGATTTCTTTTAGTTGAAATAAATATATTTTTCAATAAATTCCAGTATATACTGAACTTAAACAAATTTTTTTGTTTACACATTTTTTTTATTTGGATAATTTTAAATTATATTTTAAAATATTAACTTTTTAAGGTGATTATTGTTTCGAGTTTTTATTCTCTTTTTATTTTTTTTAATCCAGATTTAATTTTTAAATCCATTTTTTGTTTATGTGTTTATTTTCTTTTATGTTCTTGTGTTAATTTTCAATTTTTTTACTTTTAATTTTTACTATTGGTTAATTTTATTTTAATTTTTATGCTTTTGTTTTTGTGTGTAATTTCTTTTTTTTGTTTAATTATTTTTATTTTTAATATAAGTTTTAATTCTGTTTTTAATTTTATTTAATTGTTTTCAGTTTTAATTTCAGGTGTTATTTTATTTTTACCTTTACTTTTGATTTTAATTTACATTTATAATTTTCTTTGTTCTTATTTTTTTAATTTTATTTTAATTTTATTTTTAATCGTTTTTTATTTTAATTAATTTTGAAATTTTTATTTAATTTTTCGATTTCGATTTAATTTTGGTTTTTAAAACCATTCTGATATTTATTTAAAAATTTTAAATTATACTTTTATATGCTTTTTTATTTTTTTAATTATACAATTTCTGATTTTTAAAAAATTTTCAAATTTCTTTAAATTATTTTTTTGTTTTATTTTTCAATTTTATTTTATCACGACCGCTAATGTCTAACTCCCAATTATTTTATAAAATGAGCCTTCTATTTATGAAATACTGCTAGGCTCTACACACTACTTCGTCCGCATGGAATTACTAAAATAAAAAAAATCATTTTTCGCTGTATTTTTACTGCTGTGGTTGCTGTTGTTATTGCAATAAATCGACAATTGCGGTGGCGTCATCGTACGCAACAATCAAAGCAATTCAATTCAATGGAAATGTGTTCGAAAATGTTTGTGACATGTCGAAGCAACAAAAACATGACAGAGTAACAGCAACAATAATTATAAAAATAACAACAACAACAATTGTTCCATTTAATTTAAAACTGCAAAAGATGCATTGAGAAAAGGAAATAAGTGAACAAAAAAATTAGCGATTAGAATGAGCGGAACAAAAAAAAACAGAAAGAAATAGTAATAATAATAATAAAAAAATAGAGTAAACAAAAGGTAGAAAGAAATCAATCAGAACAACAACAACAACAAATGCAATGCATAGCGCAAGGACAGAAGAAACAATTAACTATCCGGCAGTGGCAACAACAACAAACAGCTGAATTAGTAATATCAACCAAAACATTTTGGTTGTAGCAAAAAGCTTACAGCAATAACAACAACAGCAGCAACAATAAGGCATACACATTAACAATGTTGTTGTCACGCCATTAACAGTAACAACAACAATAACGTACAACTGTATATATTTTTATTGAATGCGTTTTGCGGCAGCAACAACAACAACAACAACAACAACATATAAATTTTTTTAGTTGCAATTCGTGCTTATGCTGCTAGCATTATTTTATTGCTGTTGCTGTTGCTGCAGCTGCCGCCGCCGCTGCGGCGTTTAATGGAAATTAATTAGTTGAAGCGCGCCATATAAAGTGCAACGTTTCGTAGCTCGGTGCAATAGCAACAACAACAACGACAAAACAACAACAACAACAACAAAAATTAAATGCTGCACAAAAGGGTAGCTGGAAATGTAGGCAATCTTTGGAAAGCAGCAGAAGAAACCAACCAGCGTATAAATTGCAATTGCAAAATTTGTTGTTGTATTGCTTTGTTGTTGTGCAACAAATGTATTTGAAGCATTTTAACTGTTGCAACAACGAAGTACGCAACACAGTAAATAGCAGTAAAATCGCTCGCTGCCCGAACTCCATTGGGCACTTTGGGGAGGGAAAAATATGTGAGAAATGTTGCCAAGTTGCCACTGTGTTGCTGGCCAGCCAAACAATGTTTGCTACAAAACGTGGAAGAAGAAGAATAATAAGTAGAAGATATTGATGCAGTGACAATCAGCGTACGGCTTTGTGCTCAGCGCATTCACTTAAAGTGAGATTATGCATTCCGTAAGTACTTTTGTTCGGTTCTATGCTCTTCTTCTTCTTCTTCTTCTTATATTTCTTTATATATGCATTCCCTTTATTGCCTTCTTTTAGTGTGCTTTTATTGGCTGTTAATGGTGATGTTGGAATGAAAGGCTCGTTTATTGCTTGAGTTGACGCACTCTGATTGTAAATATTTGCAAGCAACAAGAAAAAAAAAAAGAAAAAATAATTGAAAAAATATTTTTAATTTTTTTCTACACAAGTCTGCTGGCAGCATTAACTCAACTCAAAGGTAATTTTCTATGCCGTGAAAAAATAATTAAAAGGATAACTGCTTATCAAAGCAACAGACGGCTTGGCAGCAGTCTTGATTGCGAAGAGTGAACACGTGCAAGCCATCTTTGAACGGAATATGAAAGGTGTTAAGAGATATGCGCTTTTGGATGGTGAACGCGAAATCTCTTGGCAGCAAGATATAATATCATACATTTTTATGTGGAGAAATTGAAAATTTTATTTTAATAAGATATATTAGAATTCAAAAAAGCTTTAATTGAAAGCTACATAACCAAAAACTGGGCTTTTTGAAGTTCATACTAAAGCTTTTGGAGCTTTAAATATGCAGAAAAAAGCTAAGGAACCTTTGATTTTGAAAAAAAAGGTTGAAAAAGCAGCCAGATTACAGTAAAATTATTTTAAAAAAGTTTCAGAGTATAAAAAATAATTAAAATTTGTTTCCATAAAGTTTTTTTTTTAAATCAAGTTAGCTGCTCATTTTGTTTAATTTTTAAAAAACGCTTTGAAAACTCAACACAGAGCTTTGTCACTCACTTTTTTAAACACATTTGTTTGGAAAAGCTTTTAAATGATTCTGTGCAGCCCGTTCGATTAAAATACGGTATTATATTTAATATTCTTCATTGATGACATAAATTATCTTTCTTCCACCTCTCTCTCTGTGACAAGAGAAATAAATGTAACGTGAGAAAATTAAATGAAAAAGAATTTGGAAATTTAGATTGAAGTAAAATCAAGCTTAAAAGCTTACTTCTCGTGTGTTTGCTATATTTTCGGCCTATGTTACATCTAATATTAGACAGTATTCTGCTAAAGGTACTGGTTATCTATTATAGTACTTGGGAAAACTTTCAAAAGCTTTTAAGACGAATAAAGTGTTAAGGAATATTTGACTGAAATATATCTGTAACTAATAAGGATTGAATAATTCAAACATTTCTGAAAGTAAATTTTTATGGGTGCAACGCCGGGTACAATTAACCCTGAAACGAAACAGTACATATGTCTAAAGCTTTCACTTTTCACTGTACCGCACATTTATTAAGCTTCCAAAGTGCTTTTAAAGTGCTTTTAAAGTTTATATTTGATTATAATGGGTATTAAGAGCTTCTTATATTTATTTATATAATTTGTAAAATGCAGGTAAGTTAATGAAAGCTTTATATTAAGTACAAAAAACTTTTAAAATCACTAAATTTTTGGAAAAGGATGGTTGGTATAATAGCAGGATTATTATTTTCAATATATATATATACAAATACGCAGGTTATATAGTTTTCAAAGCCTTTATATTAAATTTTTAAAGCGCTTTTGAACTTTGAATGAACTTTTATTAAGATTTAGTGCAATTAAGTGAGAATTTAAACCGAAAAATTTAGTTTTCGTCGGATTTGAATATTTTTGATTAATTTTAATTTATTAATTTTTTAATACAAATGATAAAACTAAATCCAATTCATTGAAAGCTTTTTAGTTGTATACACTTCATGCCCAAAGTTGCAAAAGCTTCAAAGAGTTGCCATTGAGCAAATGGTGAAATATGAAAGCAAATGAATTGATAATAAGAAATATTAAAAAGTGCAAGCTGTATTGTGTTGGTAAAATTTTGTTAGCGCAT